TTTTTTCATACCGATGGGCCTTAAGGAGTATTGCTTACCCTTTGCCCCAGGCACCTCCCCAGGTCCCAGTGATCCCAGACACAATCCAGTTCCCACACTTAACACCAGTCTCTCCCCGTCCCATTCCCACTCCTTCCAGGTCAGGTCCCCAGACAAGGCCACAAAAAGCACACCAAAACACACACCCCAAAGCATATTTCAAGTCAATATAGATATTAGCACGCTTTCCTTTCGGTAACACCTGAGCCCCTGTTAAAGCAATCGACTGAGATCAATTCCTGAGAAACCAGCAGTTGCACATCATCTTCCTCCTCATCCACTTTTAAACATTTTTTTTCCCATCTTATAAGCCAAACAACACCAAGGCACCTTCTTTTTGTCTTCCATTGTCATTAACACGCTTGAATTGGAGGCCAGCAATTCACATTTCTTTCTTGTTTCATGATCAAGGAAAATAACAAATTTACCTATAGGATTTCAACCCACTTAACCTGCCTTCTGCAAAACAACATAAGTTACAAAATTGTGTTATAATTTAATGCTGCCATTTCCAGCCATTTTTCCTCATCCAACTTCACCACCGAGTACAATATTCCTTTAATTTTCTCCTTGTTAGAGGACCCCTACCAAACTTTCCCTATGTTTCAGGATGCATCCTAAAGGAGGACAAGGGGTCACCTCTGCAGATTATCCTGCCCCCACATTACTTCCTCTAAAAGAATGTACTTACTAATCCTGCTTTCGTACACTCCAGTCGTCACTATCCAAAAGTGTACAAAGCTTGCAATATATTAAACCAAGTAATTATTGTCCTTAAATCATCCCTTAGATTATGATCACTACCCTTAGATCATTACCCCTAAACCCATGCAATGTCTCTTAATAACTGTTGCGCAGCACCTTTGAGTCACTTACCTGCTCTGGCTGGGGAGGATGCTCGCCGAGTTCCCAAACAAAAGGCTGGTGCACGCTGGAACCTGGAAAACAGATCTCCCCATCAGGAACTGGCTAGACAATCCAGGCTAGGCCCCTACAATGGTCCCATCTGGAAAGCTGCTGTCCAAATGCAGATTCACTGCCCAGTGTGCAATCAAGCAATAATACTCAGGTGAGACATTTGCTTGTTTATTTTGGAGTTGTGCCAGCCCAGGTGCTCAGTGGTTTCTCACAGATCAAGCACATGCTCCCGACTTTCCAAGCCATGTTTATATATTTGCAAGAACATCCATCTTACACTGATCAGTTAGTAATTTACCTACGGTTATAATATCTCTTACTCAACATTTCCACTACTATGCATGCTCAGGGGAAGAGTCTTCCTCTGGGCGAGGGTCTTTTTGACCTATGAGCATCATTTTTAGTATTATGGAGACAGTTCACTTAAGGATACACGGACCTTGGAATTTCCTGACAAGTTTGCAACGTGTAACAAAACTTTTTGATTTAATGTATCCTTATGGCATAGCAGTTCCAGGATGTCCTTGGTTAAAGGATGCAGTCTTTTAGATCCTTCCCTCCTGCCAAAATACAGGGCACATCTGTTTTGCATCCTTCAACACTTCCAACACCATTTGGTTGTGTAAATTTATCTATTTTTTAAACTATAATTAATAGGTATCATTTACTACCCGTGCTGTAAAATGTATAGATTTTTTAACAGCTTCTTGACTCTTAAATCTATGGTATTTCAATACAAACAAAAAGCATCAACCAAAGCTCATATTGCTTTTTATTACTGTCTGCAGGCTGTCAATATTACTACTCAATATTACTACCACAATATTACAGCAATAAAAAAAATGACACATGCACAGAAATATTACCTTGTGCAAACTCCTCCAAAATACAGTGGCTTCAGACACTAAAAGAAATAAGAAAGGAAATTCCACCTTACCTATCCATCTAATGGCAAGTGCATGAGCCTCCATATGATGAACGGGTATGAAAGACTTCTTATACTTGTTCACCAAGACATAACACGAGTCCTGGTTTCACTACAGTAGCAATAGCAGCAAGTTCATTTACAGAAACGCCACTGGTACTGAGCACCTCTTTTGCTGTCTGCTCAGTGTTTTCTCTGTGAAGTTGCTTTGTGACCAGCGGAATTATCACACCTCTTCTAATTAAAAAAATAAAGAATCATAGTACATTTGTATTTCCAAACAGGCAGAATTACAGGAAGAGCAATTTAAAACACCTCTTAACCTTGACATATCTTGCCTCTTTCATTAGTACGTTCTCAACTGCTTTGTTTAATCTAAGAGACACCTATGTACTGAAGAAATCCTCATTTTCACTGGGTGCCCAGAAGAGCATATTATTTGCTCAAGTTTGATACATATCCCTCTTAAATGTAGCCAAATATTGTAGCAAAAGAATTTCTGCAACTGAATATTCAAAACAATTGACCCCTAAGTGTCATTGCAGACATTGAGCCACCAGTTCCTATTTTCTTTAGTTTTCTCTTATAACATTTGAGACATTTAGGGGGTTTAACTAAAAATAATTTGAAGTTTAATTAAGCTAAACAATCAAGTTAAATAACCTGACTCCTTAAAAAAAAATGCTAGAGGAAATTCCTTAAATTCATGGCATTTCTTACCCTATCCTTTCTAATATTGTAAGAAAAACATGTTGTGGCCCAAAAGATAGGTCTTTACAGCCACACATTTCATATCAAGCCTTCTGGAAAAGCAAACAGTTTGCAAAATGAAATAAATCCACGAATAATAATATACAACCACAGCTACAGTGACATAACCAAGCCCTGGCAGTCTGTTCTTACGTCAGATGGATAAGAAAGTTCAGTTTGAGATTTATATACATATATATAAATATGTATCATCTCTTCACAATTTCAAGTTTTACAGTGTTTTTTAATCAAGACCAGGAACCAGCAATTACTGAAGAATCGACAATATTCATCCAGAGAGTTATTTCCCAAGGATTCATTACATCCGCCTTTAAAGGCGGTTTAAATACAACACCCACCCAGCAGCACAAAGGTGCTACATTTTTTACTTTTCTTTCTAATCTTAAAAAAAATCCCTATGTGAATTAACTGTGTAAAAGTCAGGATATTTTAACCTGAAATGCTCTGAAAGGGTGCTTATTCCAAATACGAGCGGATACGTGTGCCCTAAAAGGCCCCGGGAAAAGTGTCATGCCCCTCACACGAGCCAGGACATAACACTTCGCTTTACCGGCTGCCTGGCTTCCTGCTTTGCTGAGACAGACTCGGACCGCAGCACCTTCTCCCCGCCGCCCGCTCACGATGGGTCCACCCCCGCGCTCCCCTTTCCCTGTGCTCCCCTTCCCCTATGGCTCAGCACGAACTCGACCCGCTCTAGCTCAGCCGCCATTTCAGAGCGTCCTCCCCTGCCCTTCCCGCCGCGCTGCATCACATGGCCCCAACGGCGGCAGCGCGGCCGTTAACGGTCCCTGGAGGGGGCGGCGGTGCCTCATGGCTGCTCCCAGCACCCCCTTCTCCCGCGCGGGATTTAAAAAGGAGCTGGTCGGCGCTTCGTGCACAAGGAACGTGGAAGTTTATTCACTTCTAGGCCTTTTTTTCCCCCTCACCTCTTTCTCCTCTCTCTTTCCCCTCCCCGCCCTCAGAACTAACTCATTAGCCTTTTTTTTTTTAACATCTTTAACCAATAAGTAAACTGTAATTTCTCCAACACTAACATACAAACATAAATATGCTACTTTGGCTTTTTTGTTTTGTTCCTCGTCACAGGCTGTGGTGGCAACCAAAATGTGAATTGGGGCCATGATTAAATGAAAGAAATTGAGACATCACCTTTGAGGAGTCTTCTACGAATCCTTTTTCACCTGGCAGCCCCTTGATAGCTTTGAAAAATACACCCTTTTCCCCAAAGATACAGGAATAAGTGCTCAGTGCTCTAGTTGGACCTCCACCCCAGTTCCAGAGGCAACAGCACACAAGATTACTTAACAACACAGAGTACCATTATAATGACACATTCCTGCACATTTCCAAGGCATGCAAATTATGTACCTTTTTGTTTGTTTGTTTGTTTTCTGCAAATGCATACAGAGAGGCCATGAGTCACCTAATCGCCCCTTTCTAGTTAGGCTTCTTTCTACTCTAACTTACGCCCTACACAGTTCATCTTACATACTCTAAAACAGTTATTCTCTAATAGAGCTGCTGCTGCTACAACAGCAGCAACTGTCCCCCCACCAAAATACAGTCTGCAAGTTAAGTACCAAAAAAAATAGTCAAGTTTCAGCTTTTCAGGATGTCTCATTTACACACAGAAAAATCAATGACATTCTTTTTTGCTGGAAAACAAATAGGAAACCGAACAGAAACAACATTGTCAATTTGTAGACACATAGATAAACTGAGCTCATCAGGTTGATATATAAATCCCCTGAGTTGACAGTTAAGGACTTTCAGTTTTTGTGACAAAGATCACAGGAAAAAAAATAAGGCATTGATTATACCATCAGGTTACACTAGTTGTCACAATATTTACTGAGACAAATTTCTCCCATGAAATAACAAAACAAAATCACTTACAATCCAAAAAGTAGTAACTAGCTCCTTTTAAATAATCCAAGAATGTAGCCTCACCAGATTTAAATATTAAGTTACCATTTGTACTATGGTTGATTGGGTGGTCGTGAAACACTGCCCTCATTTTCAACAGCTCTTCATATAGCTCTTCAACAGCTCTTTTTTACCAATTACTTGCAACAGCCAGACATGCACATAGTCTTAGTGTTGATTATGCCACAGAACTGGGCCGACCCAGCTCCTCATGGAAAGCTTTCTTTTAGAGGTTTCCAATCACTTTTAGGTATACGGAGGCATCTTTTCATAAGCTCAACTTTCATTCCAGACTTCGCAAGAAGTAGTAGTCGGATCTCAGAGGTAAAAGCATCTCTCACCGGGTGCCGTCAGAAAAGAGGCACAGCAGCAGACTGCTGGTTTCCTTGTCCGGAGGAGAAGCAGCAGTGGTGCCGGGAGGTCCATGTCGCACCTTCTCCTCAGTATTTATTGATGCCAAAGATCCTGACACCATGTAGCTGTGGCAGCTTGGGGATGAGCACCGTCAGCAGAGAGGTTGTGTTGAGGATGAAGTGTGTTGGGTCATACTTGGTGTAGAAGCTTGCCAGGAAGTACCTGTAGGAAAAAGCAGCTGATAACAACGCTTAAAACAAACAAACAAACAAACAAACAGACAGAGCATAGTTTAACAAGGGGCCTAGTTAATCAGTAATAGTTCATTCACGTGTTCCTGTACTAGAAATCTCGCTTTAGATTCCAGGTATTTCAGCAAAGCAATGGGCCAAATATCTTCTTCCCACACTTGTCACAGTGCTAAAAAGGACCTCACATCCTCCAACATTTCTCCCCTGCAACTTGGGGGTGTCTAACTGCCTAAGTTAAAGCCCAATTCATTATATCAAATTTAAATAATATAAGACCCATTAGCAACATGTATGTATCACAGCTACCCCAACCAGCTCAGTGACAAAACAACTGGCATTTTTCAATGCACAAGTCACTTATGTTGAGCACATTTGTGATCAGCATCTTCTTGAAATGTTACCAGTCTAACAGATACTTCCAGGACAATTTTCTTCAAAGCTAGTCCATCACTTGTTCAACTGGGAAAGTAAGGGGACATGTCTCAAAATCCAGTTCACATCCAAATTTCTCATACTTTGAACCAATGACTCTACCTCATTCTTTGCAAAAATTCGTTGCATGAGTAAGACTATCAGATATTTTTTTTCAGCAAAAGGAAAGTGTTTGTTCAGCTTCTTGCACACTACTGGTGTATGCAGAGAACTGTTTACCTAGGTTATGATTATACAAGTCCCACTGAAAAGTGGGACGCTGTCTCTAAAGAAAGTTGTTTTTGCAGAGATGTATTTTGTTTCAGTTTCTATCTGGTGTTGAGACAGCTTTCTAAACTAGAGGCAGGATCTTACCTTTCTCCCCCTTCCTAGCCACACAAATGGCTGGCTTAAAGGAAAAACATCAGGGCTTTTTACAATTATCTATTATTTCCTGTAGTTACACAACTCTATTTTTGCCAAGAGACATGAGATGTAGTATTTCTACCAGAGTTCTGTTTACATAACTTGTGCAAACAGAAAAAGTCTGTACAAAGCAAAACTGATGGGCAATATCATAAAGTATCCCATACACCAAGTACTGTCACGTCTCTCACAGTTCAAAAACTGCAAAATGGTCAAATAAGTGCCATAAAGTAATGTACACATAACTAAGGGTTTTTAGATTAGCTTCAATTTTCAGTACTTGCAACTTCCCAATCTCTTAAAAAGAGTTCATAGCAAGTTTTCTTTCAAGGGTTTCTAATCTGTAAAACCTGTTGCATTAGAAATTGTTAACCAACTTTGATTTCAGTATTTGCATTAGAGTGTTGAAAGCCACATGAGGAAAGATTGTCAACTGCATGGCCTATAAATATGTACTCCCTAAGTCTATGATGCAGAAACAAAACATAAAAATCAAGAGGGAAAAAAATGCTTTTTAAAGGTAAAGTGCAACTCATTTAATTGCAGCATCTGAAATCACGACTTTAGGATTCAATTCGCGCATTCTATAGATTGGAACTCACAGTATTATAGGGGAGATTGTGAAGAATTTTCTTGATGATGTAAATTGTACTCCATAATCCAGTTGCTCCCAGTGTGTTAGCAGCCTTGCTTTCCCCTGATCAGGTGTTTCAAAAGGAGTTCCTTTAACTGCATGCAGAAACACATACATTCCCTGGGGAAAACAAAGAGCAAATATTATTTATGTTTTATGTAACTGTTGCATTGTCCAAAGTATTGTGTAAAAAAAAGAAGAAAGGTTACCCAGACAGTGACATAGCCAGAGTTAGAGCCAAAGTCTATGCGACATCCAATCCTGTGCCTTATTCTCTACATTAGATGGCAAAGACTGAATGAACTCAAGCAAATTTTAGTAGGCATCTTAACAAGTTTAGGGCTGCCAGGTCAATTTTATGTTTTTTTCTAACACCGTGGTTAACTGAGTGATGCAGACTCTGTGCACAGCAAAAATCTATCTACTATTTGTTGAATACTATCTCCTTTACCACACTGAATTATTCTTTGCTTTTGGAGTATGGACCCAAATCATGTCTCTGAAATACAAATTCGAGCCCACTGTTTTTAAGTAGTGGAGTCTGCTCTTTTCTAGTCTTCATAAACATTTTCTTTTCTATAACTAGGAGATACACAGGAATCTCTATCAGCAAATATCAAAGCTTTACATTTTCTGTTCTTCAAGTGTGTTTATTTCTTTTGGCACATATATAAATTGCTAGAGAAAATTTTCTACAGAAAAAAACACAGTTTTTCACAGTTCTTATACAGGAGACAAAGGATAAGCAGGTCACTTCAAGTCTTATTCCACTCTATTAGGAACAGTCTCTTGACTGGTGGCATATTACCACAGATTGAGAACTTACAAATTCTTTAACCCATGATGTTTTCTGTGTTTCAGTTTTAATAACGAAACAGGTATTTTATTTTTGTTGCTCCTTAGGATGTAGTCAAATGCTTACAGCCCATTTTATTTTAGAACCATAGAGTCATTATGGTTGGAAAAGACTGTCAAGATCATCGAGCCCAGCCGTAAACCCTTCAACACCATCCTGCTAACCATGTCCCCAAGCGCCACATCTACACAGTTCTTCAACACTGCCAAGGAATGGTGACTCCACCACTTCCCTGGGCAGCCTGTTCCAGTGCTTCACCACTCTTTGCATATAGAATTTTTCCCTAATATCTAACCTGAGCCTCCCTTGGTGCAATTTGAGGCCTCTGTAGTTCTGGAGAACAGATGAGATCAACGCCCGCCACACTACAACCTCCTTTCAGGTCTCCCCAGCGCCTCTTCCTCTCCACACCAAATAACCGCAGCTCCCTCAGCCGCCCCTCATAAGGTCTGTGCTCCAGTCCCTTCAGCAGCTTCGCTGCCCTTCTTTGGACACACTCCAGCACCTCAATGTCCTTCTTGTACTGAGGGGCCCAAAACTGAGCACAGTGTTCAAGGGGCGGCCTCAGCAGCGCCGAGTACAGGCGGACGATCCCTTCCCGGCTCCTGCTGGCTACACTGTTCCTGATACCAGCCAGGAGGCCCGTGGCCTCTTGGGCTCAGGCTGGCTCCTGTTGAGCCGCCCGTTGACCAGCACCCCCAGACCCTTTTCTGCCACGCAGCTCTCCAGCCATTCTGCCCCCAGCCTGTAGTGCTGCGTGGGCTTGTTGTGACCTAACCGCAGGGCCTGGCACTTGGCCTTGCTGAACCTTGTACAGTTGGCCTCAGCCCATCAACCCAGCCTGGCCGTTTTGCGCTGGTGCCTGCAGTAAGGAACAACCACAAGCGAGTCCAAGAGTTATCCAATAGCGAAACTCTAGTTTTTGTTTGTTTGTCAAACCTTTCAAGATTTTCAAACCTTTCAAAACTAGCTCTGTTTAAATACTGACATACCCAGAGTACAGTTCACACCCCTCTTCGATTATTCCATGGGAAAACTACTCACCAGTGCTTGTCCTCATCCCTGTTGATGACTTGCAACGAATTCACGGAGGTTTGGGGGAAGCTTTCCAGGCTTATAGAGAACATCACACAAGCTTTTAGGGCGACTACCATTTTCATAAGTAAGATTCAGCTGGCTGGCCAGCCTAGCAGCGGCCGAGCCCCTTGGCATCCGCACACTCACCAGGTTGTGGATCACGTTGGTGAGGGTCCAGGCGACGGGCACGCTGACACAGGGCACGCTGAGCAGCACGACGTGCAGCAGGCCCACGCCGAGCGCGTAGCTCAGCCACATACCCCGGCTGCTCATCACCCGCGTGTTGGGGTTCACCTCGCTGTGCGCAACGCCCACGTTCATGGCTGCGCTGCGATGCGGAGCGGCTCGGCTCGGCTCGGCTCGGCTCGGCGCGGCTCGGCTCGGCTCGGCTCG